AAGAATTGGGTGTGTTCGTACCAATTAGCAGTAACATTGCCCAGTCCGAGCAGAACGAAAACCATTTTCAGTAGATGTCACTTGTAGAATCCAAGAATTCAGCCGGATCATCTAACGTAAAGCGCTTCACTCGTAAGCTGCGTCACTAGGCTGATCTCATCCGAGCTTAAGAGTAGGATGTAGAACGCCAAGCGAATAACTGAATTGATAATCGTCCTCATCGCCACTCCACAACGAATATGTGAAGTGCAAGCTGTCCTTCACAGCGTAACCGGACCACGAAAGTACTGGAAGAGAATCATAATGAGACCGCTCTTGAGGAAATAATCCAAACAACTCATTCATATCGTGTGACGCCAGGGTCTACATCGTCTTCAATGAATATACATGGGGCAGGTGACCTCGATTTCCACAAGTTTTTTTACGCACTCGACACGGTGTCATTTAACTGATCAATTCAAACAGCGTAGATTCAGGTCGTCGGCGCCTTCCTCCTCACAGAGTTCCATTTTACGGTTTTGTGGACCACATGAGTGGTTGTGACGTTAATAACCGTTGATTGCTAACCTCAACCTATGATTAACCTCAAAATTGAAGTTGAGGTTAAGTAGTAACGTTGGGACCCCTACTTTGAATGAACCTCCCCCAAATCGCCCAGCGTTTACAATTCCGTATATTGACCCGTTTAAGTACGAAATAAGAATCCTACTAATGACTTGGATTTGTAAGTGGGCGATTGTCCACCCATGGAAATTTTGAGTAGAACAACAGAGTAGAATTTTACAGCAACCTTTTACCGCTTGAGCCCGAAAAAAAAAATCAAAAGCAGTTGTACTACTTTTCCATCACTGAAGAGTGATTCTGGTTTCCGGATTTCATGAACAGGAACTGAAGTTGTCCAGCAAAGGAGGCCGATCAGGCATTTCCCACTTGAGCGAGATACTGCAGGGACAACAAGTTGTTGGCAAAACAGCTCGTGGTACGTAATCGCTATCTTGTATTGGATTCTTGTGTCGAAGCAGTTGTGCTCCTCCGCACCGTGTGAGTGGATATGCTCCCCCATGTGTCCAGCCAAAAGCCCACCCCCTTCAAGTCCAGCATGTTTCTAAGCAATGGTCTTTCCAATCACGATCTTGGTCTCGCAGTCACCGCTTGAAAGCTGCCAGTCTCCCCAGTCCTGAAAGCCTGCACTGGAGTAACTCCAGAATTTTTCTCGCTGCATTAACGTCTCGATTCCAGAAGTGGGCCTTGCATCGACTGTTCTTGCAGCACAAGACGTTTCTGTTTTTCTTCAAGACGATCGAGGTCTTCTCGGTCTCTCGGTCTTTCACCTTTGTCAGTAGCCGAGCTGAAAGGAGGCGCTTGTGGCAGCCGGAGCACAGCTTACTGGTGCGAAACTTGTCCACGGGCAAAACTGTCGCTCGCCGTTCCAGTTCTTTCTTGAGTGCCTGTACTGGAGCTCTAGGATTTCCACGGAGACCGTCCTGGCAGCTCCAATCACCAAATGCGATGCAGACCTGCGCACTCCGAATCGGAACAAGTCGCCTGGCAATCGCAGTCAACGCCTGCATCTTCGAACTTGTGGTTAAGAATCTCCACTTTCGAAACGATGTTTTGGCCGAAAACGAGACGAGAAAGCCCACGTGCTCTACAAAGTACTGGAGTCGATCCATGAATGTTGTCAGCTGAGAAGTTTTAAAACTTGGCATTTCCTTCAGTATCAAAGCGTACGCAGGTTCTGTCTTCCTCAAGTTGAGGTCCCATACGCGCTTCTTATTGAGCTTGGCCAGGTGATAGTACTCAGCTGTGCTGACGCCGATAACTCGCTGACCGTGTTGGTTCTTCGCAATGCGCTTCCTTGAATATTTTTTGCGAAAGCGACGACGTCTGTGGCGGCGTTTACGCTGTCGGCCGTGCCGTTGCTGGGGAAGATATCCAGTCGACGCAGCCGTGACCAGTGTGGTGTAGTGATTTCCAAGTAATCGCTGAAGGGGCTACATTCAAGTTGCTCAAGCCACGAACTCTCGGTCATGCGACAGGTGGTGACCACGGTGCAAGATGGACAAGGATACACCGCTACCGAACGTTCGTCGGGTCCGACTATGGCCAAGATGTCACTCAAGTCGGGTGGTTCGTATCGGTGAAGCTGGATTCACATTCAGCGGTCAAGAACCGACGGACTACGGTACTACGACTCGGTGACGGTTCGAGCGACTCTTCGGTGGGTGCGACTAGCAGTTGAACGCTCGGAGGAGACATGAGAAGACACAAGGACAGTTGAGGTAACTGTTGGCACGTGTAGCGATCCATAACGGATCATAGTTCACTTGATATTTGTATACATGATTAGGATTGCATATTAGGAAGAGCCCGAAAGGGCATAACGAGTAACAGAACTGAATTTCCACTCAAGCACACGAGCGAGGTCCGGCTTCAAGGTAAGCGTCTGGATATGCTTGTTATGCCGTCGGTGGACTCGAAGCTCACTAGCTAGGGTTCATCCGGCAAGGCCAAGTGTGTGTATTGGCCGATTATATATCGGAAGTTTACGTGACGGCTTTATTGTGCCTATTTGCACGTGTTGGGGGAGAGCGAGTTGCCCCCATATATTCTCCCAGTCGAGTGTTGAACACTCGGCGCCCTCGTAAAAGGCTTACCCGTGCCTGGTACCCTTCCGCTGTTGGGACCACGAGGGTTCATAACACCTACTAGCTTTGCTCGTCCTAGTAGCGTGTTCTTACTTTTACTGGTTGGCCTATATAAGCGATTTGCAGGTCCAGTCTGTCCCGGTGTAAGGGCTGAGTCTGGGTCTTCAGATCACGCCTAACGATCGTTTACCGTTCTGGTAGATGTATTGTAGTGGGTTCATCCTACCTACACTAGTAGCTAGAGTTGCCGTGGGAATTACAACACCACACCAGCCTTCTAACACCAGGATCGATCCCAATGAAAATGTCAGGAGTGTAGCCTTCCGGTAACTTGTCAAGTGCCAAATCCAAGGCATCTTTCTCCACAACATTCGTTAATCAACTTTTGCTAGTCTTCCTCCGTTTCCTTGGAGCCGTATTGGTGTCTGTGGGTTCTGTGGCAGGCATTTCGCGCTGGAGTAGTTCCGAAGCTGCATAGCCATCCGTGGTGACTTGGTTACCGAACTTGCGGTTCTGGTCTCCAACTCAGTTACGTTGAAAATCTTGCGGAGAATAACTTCTCGATTCAGTGTCCAGGTAGTACGAGCTGCCTTAGTTTTGCATTCCAGTCCCAGATCGCCATTCACGAATTCTTTCGCCACCGGATCATCGTAAATGCGACAAAAGTGCTCGTACAAAGTCGTCGCGTTCAGTGTAACGTGAGATGGTATGAAAGAGCTCGATTGTGGTAGTAACGAGTAGAGATGAGCTCCTCTTGTCTTTGGGTGTTTCTCCACAAAACCCTCCATCCACGAAAGCATGTCGTACACCTTCGTCACAAAGTAACCTAGATTCTCACGAATTGTCCACTGACAAGGCTCCATACCGAGCCACTCACGTAGCTCACGCTGTTCTAAAGTTCGCCATTTATCCCAAGCACCCCACATTGTTGTAGTAGCTGTTGGATTGCCATTTGTGTCAAACGCCTGAACTTCGTGGACACGATAGCAGCTATCAACAAGTTTCTTGGTTTTGTTGTAGCTCAGTTGAATCTTTCCTTCTTTCGCGTACCGAAATCTGACGTATTGGTGCAGTCGCCGACGGAAGTGTAGAGCCAACATGTTGGCAGAATTAACCGCCATTGTCGTGGCCATTTTGTTTATCATGGCACCGCAATACCCCCAGCGACGGTGCCACGTGGGTTGGAAGCTGTTGTCGAAGTTCCCAGTACATTAAGAAAGTCTTGTGGAGGTCGGGGTATTTGGGGTTCGTCTTGTACCGATCTCGTTTCTCAGTCGAGCCCATGGAAGCAGCGCAGCATCGGTAGAAAAACATTGAGTTGAGTTCGGGAAGCGGTTCGCCCTGATCAAGGCTGCGGAGGATATGCATTCCCACGATCTTCCATCCAATAAGCCCCACCTGGCGGAGAACGATGGTCGTTTGCTGGAGCTCTTTGCGCAGGAAATCCAGACCACAGACTTGATTCAACTTTCGACTGACGCACTGGTACGCATACTGTGTAGTTGTTGCTGTGTTTTTTTTTTGCGCTTACGAGGCATCTCGTCAAATGACAAGTGATAGATATTTCGTAGGGCGCTACGAGCTATATTGTGACGAAATGCCAAGTCTTCCATGACCGGTTGAACATGGGAGACTTCAACATGAGTTCAGATACTATAGAAATGACAGATACTATAGAAATGATAGACAACATTTTATCGGTACGTGGCAGTGTACAACACTTCAAGACACGATGTCGACCAAAGGTTGTGGTCAGCAACGAGTCACACAGACCTGCGCGAACTGTGATTCAAATTCAAATAATAATTGTAAACCACAAGTCGATTCCACATCGGTGCTTTTGAATCACACGCGTTGGAAACGCTGTTCGGGAAGTTGTTGGCAAAAACAGCGAGCTACTGCAAGGCTATAAAAAGAGGAAGTTCGCCGTTGATGGTTTGAGATTGAAGTTGAAGGAGTGATGGTCTCTTGATAAATATCGTCATGTTTTGTATATCAAGAAATGCCATTCACACTGAGTTGCCCTCAACAAGAGCCAAAACAACAGGTATGCCAAGTTCAGCCTCGGAGATTCACCACCTCGCAGCGTGCACACCGACTGCAGGATTTCCTGCAAGAGATCGAGGCGCTCCAGCAAAAGGAACAGCAGGACCAGGCCACGATCCAATTTCTCGAAGAGGAGAAGCGGAAGGCTTCGCGCACATTTACTACTTGGTAACTCTGTTGAATCAAGAGCGAGAAGAGGTCGACTACATAAGAAGACTAGCATCCAATACGATAGCACCTGTAAACTAGATTTTATTAGGCCTTGTGTGAATTTCATCACACCTGAAAGCAGAACAGTCAAAAACTCACAGAGTACAACGAATATTTAGCTTATATGTACTGACGAGATGGACTCAGTGTTTCCCTAATTACGTGCGAGCTAATGGTAGATGCTGTTTGTGCAACCTTAGTTTGGTACTTCATTGCCGAGTAGGCCGCCTAAATCATCATCGCCTCGTCCGAGATGAGCTCCTCCGCGGGCGAGTCGTCAGCCGTCTCTGATTCATCGTTGTTGTCCCAGACGAGGTCGGACAGTGAGCTGCTCAGCTTCTTGTACGCTTCGTGGAACTTGAGGCACTCGCCGCTTGTACGCCGGAACTCCACCACACAGCGTCCCGGTGCCTAGACAGCAACAATCATGATACAACCACGTCACGTCAGCAAAAAGTCCTTGAAGCATTCACAACCATAAGTCGGCAGCCAAAACACACAGACACACAGCAAGCAAGCACCAGAGGTAAAGGCGACAACAGCAGTGTGATGCTGCTAGTTGCGATCACGGACCCTCTTCCGCTCGCTCGCAACAACGGCGTGCTCAGGCTGCCGTCGATTGTCCTCGCAGGGGCTCCTTACATTGTCTAGTGAGTAGATGCGCACAGCGAAGCCCACGTCCTCCGCGTCTGCAGCCATCGTGGCCTTGGTTTTGAAGCGGTCTTTGTGCGCCACAAAGCGCGCTGAGTGCTCCGTCAGCGCCTTCTCCACGCGCGTCTGCAACTCCGTAGCCGTCCGACTTGACTGGAAGCTTGTATAAAGCGCCACACTAGTGGATGGGTACGATGGCGCCTTCTTCGAACTTACCTCTGCAGTCGAAAGTCCTGCGGCCGCCGAAACGGCCATCGATCTCTCGACGTCCATGTTGAAAGGGTCGAATTCTTCGTCCTGCTGCTGTAGCCGCTGCTTGGCGGCCGCTCGCAGCTTCTCCTCACGCTCCTTACGTTTCTCCTCATCCACCTGCAGCTTGCGACTCAGCAGTTCTGCACGTAGATCATCAGGGGCAATTGCATTCTCCTTGAACCAAGGGTGTGTCTTGATCTCTGCAAGTGTAATGCGTTCTTGCGGCTTCACGTGGAAGATACGCGTCATGAGCGACATGGCACCAGGCGAGAAAGTGGCAGAACGAGCGTGTGCCGCCCAAAAAGCTTCGTGTTGCTTGGCAGCACAAGCACGGAACCACCAGTCCTGGCTGGTGGCAATCTGGAAAGGAGGGAAGCCCGCCAGCATGATAAATAGCACCACGCCAGCCGACCAGACGTCGGCGGGTTCTCCTTCGTAGGGCAAACACGACAGCACTTCCGGGCTCATGTATCCTCTGGTACCGCACTGCGTGTACAGTTCGGCCATAGCTCCATCAGCTCCTTCCCTCAGGCCGGAGAGTCCAAAGTCTGCGATTTTCAACGCAAAAGTCTCGTCCAGCAGCAGATTCTCCGGTTTAATGTCGCGGTGATACACTCCTTGTGCGTGACAAGCCTCCAGACCGGCCACAAGCTGTTGGAAATAGGCGCGCGCGATGTTCTCCGCGAAACAGCCAGTGTACATCATGAAGTCGAAGAGTTCACCACCAGTGGCCAACTCCAGAACAATGACAATCACTTGCTTGACATTACCGTCCTTCTTGGGGTACGGCACGTCGTCGTGAACTGATAGGAGGCGGAGCACATTCGTGTGCGAGACACGCGACATGGCTTCCACCTCGCGATAGACGTTGATCATGCTCTTGCGGTTGAGTTTGGCCATATCGATGACCTTGAGTGCCACGCGCTGATGCGTGACAGTATCCACGCCGAGCTTCACTTTGCCCTGCAGGCCCGAGCCGAGTGTTTGGAGCACCTGGTACTGCGCCAGCATGCGTGAAGAGTTGGTGTTGGCAGCTTGTTGTTGCTGCTGCGGGTACTGCGCAGCGTCCATGTTGGAAACTGGCGCCACGGGCGCGGAGAAGAGCACGGACGTCATGGCGAGCAGCTTGTTCTCTTCCACGCAGGTTCGAGACTGAAATCAACCCACCACGTCAAGGTGCGCTGCTCTGTAGATATTGGCAGAAAATAGCATTTTAGGCAGGAATGACGGTAATATCAAGTGAGCCAATCAAAAGGAACAAATTGGTTTAAGCGGTTGTACAGTTTGTGCCTCAGCACAAAACAAGCTTCCGTCACAAGCAAGCTACCACAAGACATGGCGAAGGTTGCGAGCGTACCCGCCGAGGATGCCGTTGCAGCAGACGTGGAGCAGCAGATCGAGGCGTCGGTGCTCCGTACTGCAGAAATGTTCGCGCTGACCAAGCGCAGCGCCTCGTCAGCTTACGACTACGCGCCCAGGTACGACCATATCTCAGCGTATCAATGGGTGAATGCATTGGTGGTCTAACTGTAACCTCTTGCCATAACTAGCAAAAAAGTGCGTGTGCGTACCAAACTGAACGACGCCTACCTGTTTGAATTCCCTGACGCGCTGCTGGAGCCAAAGGCAGCGGCTGAAACTGCAGACTTGACACCCACGCCTTCCGAAGCTGCTGCGCTTGCTGCCCCTGGGCCTGCTCCAGCTCCGGCTGATGTGGTCATGGGAGGCCACCCGGTGCCTTCAGCGCCTGGTGTTTCAATCGAGGCTGAGGACTCTACAACAGCAGACAAGCCTTCATTCGTGGATCAAGTGGCGAAAGAGACAGAGGAAGAGCTGGCACTTAAGAAGCGAAAAATGTACGTCCTGTGGGCTCTGTTACTTGCTTGCATTGCCTAACATGTTCCTTATTATGTGCATAACGATGGGCAGTGCGGCGTCAAATATCAATGGAGATGCCTCCTCGGCGGTTGTAGAGTACAAGAAGCAGACAGAGACAGCAGCTCAGTTCGGATCGAGCGCCATTGTCCGTCGTCGTGCGACACAGGTGTCCAAGCCCAAGTGGCACGCTCCGTGGAAGCTCAAGCGCGTGATTGCAGGACATCTGGGCTGGGTGCGCTCGATCTCCGTGGATCCTACCAACGACTGGTTTGTGACGGGCTCTGCTGATCGGACGATCAAGGTTTGGGACTTGGCCTCGGGACAGTTGAAGCTCACGCTCACAGGCCACATCAATGCTATCCGTGGCTTGGAAGTGAGTCCTCGCCACCCGTACCTCTTCTCGGCTGGAGAAGACAAAAAAGTGCTATGCTGGGACCTCGAGTACAACAAGGTGATTCGGAGCTACCACGGCCACCTGTCGGGTGTGTTCTCACTAAAAGTGCACCCTACGCTGGATATCCTCGTCTCCGGCGGTCGTGATGCCGTCGCTCGAGTAAGTCTCAGCTATATCTTCACAGGGAACTCATCAGACATGGGAGTAACGACCTACTTTTCTTTGACTTGGATTCAATAGGTATGGGATATGCGAACGAAGAACCAGATCCACGTGCTTTCTGGCCACCAGGGCACTGTGTGGGCCATGGAGACGCAAGCGACGGATCCGCAAATTATCACGGGCTCCAGCGACAGCACTATCAAGGTAACTCTTTTGTTTTGCGGTTTGTTTTTGTATCTCAACTCACACGCTTTGCGTTGTCGCCTGAATTCTCTACAGTTGTGGGATCTTGCTGCCGGCAAGGTGATGACGACGCTGACTAATCACAAGAAGGCGGTTCGTGCCGTCACAAAGTCTCTGTTGGTAAGTTATAGGGATGGTCGATGTCGTGTCTAGCGGATTGATACTTGATCTTAACTTTCGATCTCCTGTTGGCAGGACCATACGTTTATCTCAGGTGCCACAGACAACATGAAGAAGTGGGAGGCGAAGGGAGGCCGTTTCCTGCGCAACTTCTCGACGCACAACGCTATCATCAACTCGATTTCGATCAACCAGGACGGTGTGATGGCCTCATGTGGAGACAACGGATCGATGCGCTTCTGGGACTACCAGACCGGATATTGCTTCCAGAGCGACTCGACGAAGGCGCAGCCCGGCTCCCTGGACAGCGAAACCGGCATCTTTGCATCCACGTTCGACAAGACAGGCCTGTACGTGCGCGCACGCTGTGTGTGTATTTTTGGCAGTTGACGCCTAACGATTTTTGCGTGTATCAACCTAGGCGCTTCATCACGTGTGAGGCGGACAAGACCATTAAGGTGTGGCAGGAGGACAGCTCTGCGTCAGAAGAATCGCATCCGATCGACATGGCCCAATGGACCAAGGATTTCACAGCGCCGAAGAGGTACTAAGACAATCATTGACGCTGTAAGTTGCCATGCTGCATAATACCGATGTTAAACAACGCCTTGCGTCATGTTTTCCCGAACTTCGAAATCCCAAAAGTCAAGTGAACGATTATACCATGAGCATTCTCCTACTATTACTACTACTACAACTACTACTACCCCAGATACTAAAGCTACTACTAATTATTTCACTACTACTAGCACTACTACTTCGAAACAGCAACTACTACTTCAACAATTTTAGCTACCATGCCATTACTACTTACAATACTCTCAACTACTATTCATACATACTACATCATCAAAATATTCAAGAGTTCATTTAGGTTGGCGGTTTCCGAATCAGATTCAAACTGATTCTGACAAGTGTCAGAATTAATGTTGAAAATTGAAGAAATACCATAATCAGACAAAATCTTATTTTAACAGAATGGACTATTTACTCATAAAAGTAATTTTGCTCTATGAGAGTACTACTTCTAGTATTACTGCTATTACTACCTAAAGTGTTGGAGCTTTTTTGGTCGATGTGAGCTCGTATAAGTAAACAAAAGTGTGATTAGTACTGGTTAAGTATCCACCAAGCAATCGGACTTACATAAGTTGCCTCTTTTTGTGACGGGGTCACACAGCACGTTGTGCAGAGGAAGT